ACAACTCTACAGAAAGTATAACATGCAAAGTTTCATTAGTACCCAAGAATGCATACCTGAGGTGAGCCGACAGTGTTTTCAGTTCCAGCTTTAGGGCCTCCTCAATGGAGGGTTTTGGTGGTGGCCCTAACTCACGCTCTAATGGTTCTACTCTTCGCTTGTGAGGCTCCACTAGTGCCAGATTCAGACATGTTTCTATCTCTTGAGCCTCAATGCCTTCATCTCTCTTATGACTTACTAACACTCTTCCTAATGGGTCGTCAGGCACAACTGAATATGCCTCTACTAGGCGATCAACCACAGTAATAGAATGACCAGCTGCTACATCAATCAATGCCTTACCTGTGGCCAAAAAAAGGACGTCCCAAAATGAATGGAACTTCAGGATCGGGTTCAAAGTCTAATACCACAAAATCTACCAGAAAAATCAATGAACCTACTTGCACTAACACATTTTCTACCACCCCCTCTGGCCTAACAATGGATCTATCGGCAAGTTGAAGAATAACAGTGGTTCTTTTTGGACTACCCAACCCCAGTTTTAGATACAAAGATAAGGGCATTAAATTTATACTAGCCCCCAAATCACACAACCCCCGGGCGTGAACACTTTGCCCAATTGTAATCTGCACAGTAAAGCTACCCGGATCTTTTAACTTTTTGGGCAGTCTCTTTTGAATCCTTGAGCTACACTCCTCAGTAAGTGCCACAGTTTCATATTCCGTGAGCCTCCTCTTGCTAGCCATAATGTCCTTCACGTATTTAGCATACTTCGGTATACCCTGCAAAATATCAACCAAAGGTAGATTAATGTGAACCTGTTTAAGGAGAGAGAGAAACTTACCGAAGCATTCATCTTCATTCTGCTTTTTGAGCCTTTGCTGAAATGGAGGCGGTAATTTCTTTTGAGGAACGGATACCTCAACATTGGAGCTTTTTACTACCTGTTCCACCTTCTTTGGTTTGTTACTTTCCTCGGTGTCTCTCTTATTTGGAGCTAGTTCTTCTAAGTGCAGCCCACCTCTAGTACTTACCGCATGCAATTGCTTTGGATTTGGCTCAGTATCACCGGGTAGCACACCTTGGGGACGCAAGTTCAGAGAATTGGCCACTTGCACAACTTGTTTGTCTAAACTCAATTGGGACATCTGGATGTTTCTAATGTTCTCATCCTGCTTATCTATTCTAGCATTTAATTTGGTCCCTATTTCAGTCATGAGCTTTTGGATTAGCTCTTCATTGGTCATCCCCCCTTTTTGTGCACTAGTATTTGAGCTTTGGTTAGGATTGTAGTACTGTTGCCCAGCCCTTTGAGAATGGTATTGGTTAACCCCTTGCGTCTAATTTCGGTTTTGATTACCACCCCACGAGAAGTTAGGACGGTTCTTCCAACTGGGATTGTAAGTATTACCATAGTTTTGTTGCACTCCGCCCCTCTGCGCATTACCCACATAGTTTACGAAATCCGGGTTTGCCTCACATTGCTCGGTTTCATGAGTTCCACTACCACATACTTCACACCAATTTGCTGCCTGTTGTACTACGTTTACCGGAACCTGATTTAGAGCTATTTGTTTAAATTGCAATGTAATGTTATGTTGCATTGCATTTAATTTGGCATTTATGGAAGTAGCTTGGTCTACATCTAAGATCCCTGCAACCTTTTGGGTTGAATTTCTAGACATTTCACCCTCATACCCTTGGTTCCCTTCAGAGAGTTTATCGAGTAAGGCGAAAAACTCTTCACTTGTTATGGCTAGGGCCTGTCCACCTGCTGCGCTATTAAGAAGAGAACGAGCATTATAGTCTAAACCTTCAAAGAAAGTGTGACAAAGTACCTCATTGGTTTGCATGTGGTGCGGGCAAGCATTCAACATTTGTTTGAAGCGTGCCCATGCTTGGTACATGTCCTCTCCTTGCTTTTGAGCAAAGTTTATTATCTCACCCCTCAGCTTGGCGGTTTTCTTGGATGGAAAAAATCGACTCAAGAACTTCTTTGCTAAATCATCCCAAGTAGTGATGGAGTTTGGTGGCTCAGAGTCTAACCAACGCCTTGCAACTCTTAGCAATGAGTATGGGAACAAAGTCAACTTACATAGTCTGATGAGACTCCAATTGGGATGTATGTATTGGTAATGTCTATGAAATTTCTAAGATGGACTTGAGGATCCTCATGGGGGAGAACAGTGAATTGCCTATTAGTATGAAGGATATGCACCATCTTCTGCTTTAGTTCAAATCTACCCCCCGGTGGAGGTTTCTTAATACTGGATTCCAGGTTGGCTGTAAGTGGGACTGCCACATCACGGACTGGTCTTGCGGGAACAACAGGCGGTCCTCCTTGGTTATTCGGGTTCCTTGGGTTATTCACGTTTTCCGGGTTATTCACATTGGCTTGATTATCATCATAAATGTTTCCCGGAATACCTAACCCCAATTCTCCTTGTCGCTCCTGATTCATTTTTCTGCGCTGGCATAAAACACTTTTCGATTCGTTGTAAGGTTCGACAAGATCTCCTTTCCGAGCCAGACCTGAAAGTCAAGTACATGCAATACACAAGCTAAGATCAAGTATTTAATATCTGAATATATTGTTGTAGACTTAAGAAGTTTGAATATAAATCAATTTTTAAGTCCCCGGCAGCAGCGCCAAAAACTTGTTGCTCCCCAGTATACACGCAAGTGTACGTGGTTGCGTAATTAATATAGATTCTTGAAGAAACGAGTTATCGTTCCCAAGGGACTTATAATTAATTTATACTTACCACTTAATTCTACAAATAAAAGTAAAAGTAATCTTTTCAAAGAGTTGATGATTAATTGTTAACTACGACTGATTATAGACTAAATGAAAGTAACTAATTGTGAACAATTTTGATATAATGTTTCAAGCAGGTTTAAAGCAATTCCAGGGCTGTAGCATCCACTGAATATCATGTATCATATTATTGGCATAGAACTAATTTCAGTTGTCAAGTTACTGGTTTACATGGTTAATTGTATGAGTCGGACTACACACCTCCAGTCGCCTACTCCAATTAGCTATCTAACTACATCGTTGAGAGGGGATAAATAAACTAATTAACGAGCATTTATATTTCATCCTATTTCGTAACCAAGCGAGTTGTTCGTCCGGGAGTCACTCCTGAACACAAATCACCTTGACTTAACGGGTCGATCAAGCTCTCTATATTCTTTGGTCTATCTAACCTCTTCTCTCTCGATTTTAAGGTTAGACACTAAATTTATCTCTAGATGGCCAGTTAAGAAATACTAAAACAAGAATATAGAAGTAACTCATAATGACAACCAATAATTAATTCATAACACCTCAAATAATCAACAATTCATTCGTAGCTATAGCCCCAGAACTAGGGCGTTTTAGCTACTCATGCTATTAGAAAACAAGAAAGTACAATTGTTCATTCAAATTCTGGAAAATAGAAGAGTTAAAGGATTAAGACCTGTTACAAACTTGAATTCTTGCCCTTGCACACTAAATCAAAAGTCGACCTTTACTAATGAACCCTATGGATCTATTTATAATAATTAGAAAAAGTAAGACCCAATCCCAAGCCAACAAAGAGTCCTATTTAGTTGAATGTTTGCTGGAAAAGTCGGCATCATGGTAGGGCGTCGCGCCTCTCATCGCGCCTGAAACTCGCCTCTGAACTTTTTACCCGGGCGCATCGCGCCTCTCAGAGCGCTTGAGTGGCGTCTCTGAAATTTGTCCCTTGGCGCCTTGCGCGTAGCAGTACGCCTGGCCGTGGGGTCTTCATCCTTGGCCGCTTTTCATGCTCTTTTACATCTCTTTTCTTCAAGTTGACTCCAATTCCCTTGAGAGTTCCTGAAACAACTAATCATGTGTGTAAGTGTACAATCATCACGAGTTACACCAAAATTTAAGCTAAGGACTAGAGATCATCTTTCAATCATATTGACTTATGGGCAATTATTGGCAACTTGGGCATGTAAATATGCCTAAGATCAGGTCCACTAAGCTATGATTAAAAGCAATAAGGGATCATCTAAAAAGTATAATCCTTTACCCATATTAGCATACATGGTTTATGAGGATTTTGAGTTGTATGAACTCATTCCCATATCGGTGTTCGGTACTTCTTCCAATAATATATATAACTCATGCTCATATGTTTAAAAACATAAATCCTCCTCAATTTGAGATAACTACTCAATAGGTTCTCTTACAAGATACAAAACTTAAAACTCTTCATGAACTCGTTTAGAATCAAGGTTTCCTCTCATTTTAAATGTAAAAATATATACACTTAGGAATACTTAGTTTCCTTATAATTATTTTGAAAAATGACACTCAACTTTCCTCATCATATTCATTTACTCAAGTTTTAAAACAAGTTATAAATAATTGAAGAAGACTTCTCAAAAGGACTTTCTCAAACTGTACTCTTAATATTTACTTTGAATTTGAAATGTGAATTCAAGAGTTATGATTAGCATATATAGGATCTCTCAATGATTAATGAAGACTTAGATAAGTGGTAATAAGAAGAGAGCAAAGAAACAATTCAAAGGAATACATACGGGTTGAAAGACGGAGGTGGAAGGGCCTAACGCCCTAGCGCAATAGTCGAACACCACGCCAACCCTCAGTTGCTTGAGGATGGTTTGGGGTGAACTGTAGGCGCAGGGCGCCAGCCCCTCTGACGCTATGGTGGGGGGGGGGGGTTAGCCTATTCTGAAAATGTTTTGACAAATTTTTCTTCTCTATTTTTGGTCCTAATTCACCTAGAATCGATTAATTTCTTTCAAACTCCCTTAGATTCATAAACTCAACATAATTCCTGGAAAACCCACTCAAATCACGTCATGAACAACACTCAAACGCAAGACCCTCACCTCAAGAACTCAACAAAACTCCATTGTTAAAGAATGAAGCACAAAACCTCAAAAATTTCTCAAGAATTCAAATCAACCAACCTCAAGAATGAATTCATGGATAACAATCACATGCTTCAGAGATGGTTGCGAATATGAGGAGCAGGATGAGTCTTTTTGTTGCTGGGTTGAACCGTCTGTCAACCAAAGAGGGAAAGCCAGCCATGCTTATTGGGGACATTGATATGGCAAGGTTCATGGTCTATGTGCAGCGGGTTGAGGAAGAAAAGCTGAAGGATAGGGTGGAGTCTAGAAACAAGAATGCGAAAACAGGGAATGAGTTCGGGCAGTAGAGAAATAATGTGAACCGGTCTTCTTTCCAACAAAATCAAAATGGACCTGCTCCATCATCTGCTAGTGCACCTGCACCCAGAAACAAAGGTGAATATAATGGTCAGAATTCACAGAACTTCAGAGCTAGACCTGCATAGTCTCAGGGTAGTGTGGCACAAAGAGGTAATTGGGATCCTGCATGTGCTAAGTATGGTAGAACTAACCTAGGTAAGTGTCGTGATGGCTCCACAGGTTGTTTCAAGTGTGGATAATAGGGGTCACTTCATGAAAGAGTCCCCTAAGAACCGGCAAGAAAATGGGAATCAGGGAAATAAAGCCCAATCTTCATCAGTTGCTCCACGAGACAGGGCTGCACCTAGAGGAGCTACTTCTGTTACTAGCGAAGGGGCAAACTGCCTTTATGCGATCACTAGTCTTCAAGATCAAGAGAACTCTCCAGATGTAGTCACTCGTATGATCAAAGTCTTTACTCTTGATGTTTATGCTTTGTTAGACCCAAGAGCAAGTTTATCTTTTGTAACCCCTTATGTTGCAAATAATTTTGATGTTTATCCTGAGAAACTCTGTGAAACCTTTTGTGTTTCTACACTTGTTAGGGAAGTCTATTCTAGCTGAGCGAGTATATCGTGATTGTATCATTTCCATCAATCACAAGAGTACCATCGATGATTTAGTTGAGTTAGACAGGGTAGATTCTAATGTCATTCTTGGTATAGACTGGCTTCATGCTTGTTATACCTCAGTTGATTGTAGAACTCGAGTTTTCAAGTTTTAGTTTCTAAATGAGTTAGTCTTAGAGTGGAAAAGTAGTTCAGCAGTGCCTAAGGATCATTTTGTTTCATACCTTAAGGCAAGAAAGTTAGTTTCCAAGGGCTGTGTCTATCACTTAGTCTAAGTTAATGGCACCAGGAGAGTTGAAAGAGCTAAAGAAGCAGTTGAAATATCTCCTAAATAAAGGCTTCATTCGACCAAGTGTCTCACCTTGGGGCGCTCCGATCTTATTTGTGAGGAAGAATGATGGTTCTTTTAGGATTTGTATAGATTAACGTCAGTTGAACAAGGTTACCATCAAGAATAAGTATCCTCCTTCGAGAATTGATGATCTTTTCGATCAGCTTCAGGGTGCTACTTGTTTCTTTATGATAGACCTCAGATCAGGAAACCATCAGTTAAGAGTAAGGGAATGTGATATTCCAAAGACAACATTCAGAACCTGTTATGGTCATTATGAGTTCTTTGTTATGTCCTTTCGTTTGACCAATGCACCTACAACATTCATGGACCTTATGAATAGAGTATTCAAGCCTTATTTAGATATGTTTGTTATCGTGTTCATTGATGACATAATAATCTATTCAAAGAATGAGGAAGATCATGCTAGCCATCTCAAAATAGTTCTCCAGACTCTAAAGGATAGATAGTTGTGTGCTAAGTTCTCAAAATGTGAGTTTTGGCTTGAGTCTGTGGCATTCTTAGGCCACATTGTGTCTGGAGAGGGAATTAAAGTTGATACTCATATTATGGATGCAGTGCAGAATTGGCCTAGACCCACATCTCAAACTGATATTAGGAGTTTCTTGGGGTTGGCTGACTATTATAGAAGGTTCATATAGGGGTTCTCATCTATTTCGTCCCCTTTGACCAAGTTTACTCATAAAATAGTGAATTTTCAATGGTTTGAAGATTGTGAGAAAAACTTTCAGGAATTGGAAAAGAGGTTGACTATTGCCCAAGTATTGACCTTACCAGAAGGTATTCAAGGTTTTTTCGTATATTGTGATGTGTCTAGAATGGGTTTGGGTTGTGTGTTAATGTAGAATGGCAAGGTTATAGCTTATGCCTCTAGACAGTTGAAAGTTCATGAGAAGAACTACCCAACCCATGATCTAGAGTTGGCTGCCGTAGTATTTGCTTTGAAAATATGGCGCATTATCTTTATGGTGTTCATGTAGATGTGTTCACTGATCACAAGAGCCTTTAGTATGTGTTTACTCAGAAATAGCTTAATCTCATACAAAAGAGGTGGTTAGAATTACTCAAGGATTATGACATGAGTATTCTTTACCATCCAAGTAAGGCTAATGTTGTTGTTGATGCCTTGAGCAGGTTGTCTATGGGTAGTACCGCCCATTTTGAGGAAGATAAGAAAGAGCTAGCAAGAGATGTGCATAAACTTGCACGATTAGGAGTTCGACTAATGGATTCCACAGAAGGAGAAGTAGTGGTGATGAATGGGGCAGAATCATCATTAATATCTGGAGTTAAAGAGAAACTAGACCAAGATCCTATTTTGCTTGAATTGGAAGGCAAATGTTCATAAGCAAAAGTAATGAATTCTGAACAAGGAGAAGATGGTGTATTGAGGCATCAAGGTAGATTGTGTGTACCAAGGGTAAATGAACTCCAAGAGATGATTATGGAGGAAGCTCATTGCTCTAGATATTTTATCCATCCAGGTTCCACAAATATGTATCGCGATTTGAGAGAAGTGTATTGGTAGAGTAGTATGCAGTAGGGCATTGCATAGTTTGTTGCTAAGTGTCCGAATTGTCAACAAGTTAAAGTAGAGAATCAAATGCCCGATGGTTTGGCTCAAAATATAGAACTTTCGGAATGGAAGCGGGAGATGATCAATATGGACTTCATCATTGGTTTACTAAGGTCTCGTAGACAACATGATTCGATTTGGGTGATTGTTGATAGAATGAGCAAATTAGCCCACTTTTTGCCAGTAAAGACTAACCATTCAGTAGAAGATTATGATAAGTAGTATATTTAAGAGGTGGTAAGACTTAATGGGGTTCCGGTCTCCATTATTTCAGACAGAGGTGCGCAATTTACTACACAATTTTGTAAGTCATTCCAAAAAGGCTTGGGTTCAAAGGTGAACTTAAGTATTGCCTCAGACAGATGGGCAAGCAGAGCGCACTTACTATTCAGACCTTAGAGGATATGTTGAGGGGTTATGTGATTGATTTTAAAGGTAATTGGGATGATCACCTACCTCTTATTGAATTTGCTTACAACAATAGTTACCACCCTAGCATCCAAATGGCTCCTTATGAAGCTCTTTATGGAATAAGATGCAGATCTCCTATTGGGTGGTTTGAAGTTGGTGAAGCTGAATTGATAGGACCAGACTTAGTTCATCAAGCTATGCAGAAGGTGAAAGTAATTCAAGACAGGTTGAAAATGGTGCAAAGTCGTCAGATATCCTACACCGATGTTAGGAGGAGGGAGTTAGAGTTTGAAGTAGATGATTTGGTATACTTGAAAGTTTCACCCATGAAAGGTGTTATGAGATTTGGTAAGAAGGGGAAGGTTAGTCCCCGGTATATTGACCCTTATAGAATATCCAAAAGAGTTGGTAATGTAGCTTATGAGTTGGAGCTGCTACAAGAGTTAGCCGCGGTTCATCCGGTATTTCATATCTCCATGTTGAAGAAGTGCATGGACGATCCTTCGTTGATTATACCAACTGAAGATATTGGGATCAAGGATAGCTTATCTTATGAGGAGATTCATGTTCAAATTCTAGATCGCCAAGTTCGCAAGTTGAGAACAAAAGAGGTAGCATTAGTCAAAGTTCTTTGGAGGAACCAATTTGTTGAGGAAGCTACTTTGGAAGCTGAGGAAGATATGAAGAAGAGATATCCACATCTCTTTGAAGCCAGAGAAATTCCAGATCAAGGTACTAATTCTCTTCTTAGTACTCCATAATTTATATACTTGATGTGTTAGATTTGCTTGATGGGTGTTTGAACTGAATGATTGATGTTACACCCTTAGCCTAGTAAGAATAATCTCATTAGAGGACGAATGTTCCCAAGGGGGAGATATTGTAACACCTCGCCTTTTGAAAGAACTAAAAAGAGTTAGAATTGGAAAGACTCATTTTAGGAAAGAATGAAAATCCGGAAATTTGTTAAGTTATGTTAAGTTTGAGTTTTGGGTCAAATTCAAATGACCATAACTCCTAGATCAAGATGAATTAGGTGTACTTCCCGATACCGTAGGAAATATCTTTCTAACGCCTCTGAGTTTGTGTGATTACGAGTTCATATGAGTGAGATATGCGCATTTGAAGCTGGGCTGTTCAAATACGAAAAGTCTAAACCGGATTTTGGAAGGGTAATTTAGTATTTTCCTTACCCAATTATTTTAATTCATTTTTTGGAGTTTATTTGGGGTATAATCAGAATTATATCAGTTTAAAAAATTGGAAATTTACTCTAGGGCTTGGAGAAAAGAGAAAAGAGGAGAAAGGAGAAGAAAGTTCAAGATTCGTCGAATTCTTAGAGTTTTCCAAAAGTCTTTTACAAACGTTTGAACTTTGTTTTAAGACTTAAGTTTTGAGTTGACTAAGAATAAGAGTGAAAGTTTATTTCTTCAGGTATTATATGGGAACTAAGTATTCCCATGAGTTGAAATGTTTTCACATTTGAGTAAGAAAGGAAACACCGATTTCCAAGAGGGCTTTTAAGCTAAGTTTTGAGTAATTATCTCAAATCAAAGAAAGAGTTTTGTTTTAAAAACATATGAGCTAAGTACATTTTGGGATTAGTATTGAGCACCGATATGGAGACGCGAGTTTATAATAACTAAAGTCTCCATAAACCATGTAGCCATCATGGGTAGAGATGATCATACTTTATAGATGAGTCCTTAGTGCTTTTTAGCATAGACTAGTGGATCCACTTAGTTATGGCGTTCTATACGATGGAAAAGTATAGGACAGTTCTGGCAGCGTAGGCAAGATGTTGTATCACCACATAGGCTCATAATGGTGGTTGTCGGTTAGAGAAACTCCCACAATATTATATTACTTTATTATATGAGTAAGTTGAGTTGTTATTGCATTTCTTTAACAAATTGAGTCCATTCCTACTGTTTTAAAAGCTTTCCATATATTGCATATGTATTGTTGCTTTATATTGAGTTAAGTTATTCATGAGTTGAGCAAAGCCAAGGTAAGTGTTCCTTTCAGATTCTTTTCAAGCTTACGTTATGTTTTAGTATTCCCCTTGCATACTCGTATATTCAATGTACTGACGCCATTTGTCCTGCATCATTGTTATGACCAGGATCATTATCCGGCACCTCGTTGATCCAGATGAGCACTCAGAGTTGGTTGGTGTGCCTCCTTTCTATTCGGAGGACTTGTTTTTTATCATTTATTTTAGTCCTCTAGTTGTTAGGATGATCGGGGGCCTTGTACTGACATCTCTCTTTGTTTTAGAGGCTTCATAGACAGTCAGATATTTAGTTATGAGTCCTTTAGCTTTGTATTTCAGATGTTTCACTGTGAGACTTGTGTAGCCATTTTGGCTAGTTTGAATGTTTTCTTTAAAGACATTCTAAGTTATTTAATAAGTTCCTTATTTGAGGTATTTCTGATGTTTAAGTCTTTCGTTGAGTAAGTAAGCCAGACCAAGGGTTCGTTTAGGGCCAGCAATGGTTCTCGAGTGTCAGTCCTACCCAGGGTGTAGGCTCGGGGCGTGACATTATGAATCAATAAAATGAATAATGTGACATTCTTTTTTAATTTATATCAATATAAAGTATTTTTTTTATAAATAATGGCCCATGTCCATGGGTATTTAAATTTCAATAAATGTTAAAAAGAGAAAGTTTAACATAAAAATGCAATAAAATAATAACATAAAATGAGAATGAAAAAAAAATGTCCCGTGTGAAAGATAAACAAAAAGAAGGAAGAGAGATTATTCTTTCCTTACATATAATGTTATATAAATTATAATTTAGGATTTATTTTAATCAATTAAATCTTAGCCATTAAATTTAATTTATGTCATCTGTTAATAATCTAAACAAGAATTTGAGAAAAATAAAAATAATAGAACTTTGATTTAAAGCAGGACCCAAAGGTACACGGTTACACAACATGTCGCCCTACTTACTTTAAAAAAAATTATTGTTTGACTAAAGATGATGTAATAACTAAATTAATAAATTTCCTTTTTAGCAATTTACTTACCTTTGAGTATTTTTTAATTGGGTATGAACTTATGATTAATGAAAATATTTTTTTTTGATATACAAACTTAGTGGACATTAAGAGAATTTCCCTAGTCAAAATTCATATAATCTTAGTCAACAATTCAACAATTATTTTTCCAAATATAATTAATAATTAGTTAACCAAATTAAATGTATCTCTGAGAAATGGCTATATAAACCACTCTATCCCTTGTCTTTTAACTCATAGAGTCTTCTCTATATGCAAAACATTCTTTTAGTTTTTTCAAATGGCAAAGAAAAATATGACGATGTGGCGGCGACGGCGACGGCGGTGGCTGTACCACCAAACGAGGTGCGGTATAAAGGTGTGCGAAAGAGGCCATGGGGGACATATGGAACTGATATTACAAACCACATCAAGAAGGTACGAGTATGGTTTGGTACTTTCAAAACAGAGGAAGAAGCTGCAAGGGCCTTTGATACGGCGGAAAGGATGTATCACGGCCTTAAAGCCAAACTTTATTTCCCGCCGACAAATGAGGATAACCTCGAAAATGCTAATAATATAGAAACTTAATTATGTCTTCTTCGATGTATCATTTTTCAGTGTTTTGTTTTTCTACATAGAATTATGATTCAGTGAATTTTTATGGTCCAACTTTTCGAGATTGTAATTTGTCTTTCAGTTTGATCTTAAAGTAGCAAACTCTTATTTATGTTTATTGAATTTTAGATCTTCCAAACGAATTAATAGTAGATTGATATTGGAATAGTCATATAGTTAACTAGACAAACAACTATTAAAGTTACCACGAAAATAACGAATTAAATATCTCATAAGGTCACTCAATTTTGGAAATTTTTCTAGCAAAGTCATTGAGCTTTGTTTTGTTTCAATAAAATCACTTAACTTTGGCTATTGTATCAATAAAATCACTAAACTAAATTTTACATTAAAAACTCTAATATGACATAAAATATTTGTTTTATGACATATGATTATAAATTTCACAAATAAATAAAAATAATATAAAAAACTTATTAAGGAGTTTTAACGGACAAAAAATATTATAAATTTTAATTCATATGGTAAGAAATTAACAGATGAAAATTGTTTTATATTTAAAACGAAGAGTTTTTCGACCCTGTTCACGTTATTGTGAAACTAACGCAATTAAAAACTTAAAATTTGCAACAATTTCAACTGATAATATCAATAATTCCCCTGATTAATCACCAATCTACAACAATTGGTCCCTTTTTCTTCATTCAGAAAATCACCTATTATGATATATATATATATATATATATATAATACTTATTTTACTGATATAGTTTTTTCGTAAAAGAAAATTTAATTTTCTTAAAATTTTATTTATTTATGGGGTCAATAGTTATATGTGGCATAAAAAGATATTTTAATTATTAGGTTAGATTTTCTTTTAACTGAAATTTATATGAGTATTTTATTGATAAAAAAGTCTAAGTTGAATAATTTTATCGATATAAAACAAAGTTTGACGACTTTGTTAGATAAATTTTTAAGTCGAGTGACCTTTTGAGATATTAACTTCGAGACTATATAACTATAGTACTCACCTCTTTTAACCACAAAAAAAAAACTAAAAAAACGATAGTACTCACAATGAAGTATGCAATGAAAAAAATGTCTGCAATGAGATCTTCTTCATGAACTTATATTTCTCCTTCTTGATGTCTGGCCTTTGAAAATTCAACAATCTTAGTTTGCAACTTTTCAATTAATTATAAGAATCATTTTGCAACTGAAACAAATAAGTAAGAAAGAAGCTGGCACCATAGTCTACTTGTGCATAGTCAAGATATTCTAATATTAAAAAAATATTACTAGTAATTTGACAAAACCTGTATTTTTCTATTTACAAAACCTTATTAAGTTTTAACCTATCAAATACAAAAAGCAAATGGAACTCAATATTTGTAAATGGATAGGTATTTCACCAAAAAAAATCTTTAAAACTCTATTTTGAATATCCTTATATTATTGACTTGAGTAAACATTTTAAAAACAAGAAGAAAAAAATTATATATATTTTTTCCTTTATTTGACAAGGGTGGGTGGGGTGTGGTCTGTTGGAAAAATAGAAAAAAAATACTTAATAAAACATGCAATTTTATAATGTCAATAAAGTATTAAGAAATAAAATAAAATTTAATATGAATATATCATTCACACATATCAGAATAAAATATAAAAATATTGCTTAACTAAAAATGTATTTAGTTCAAGGAATGAACTTTTTTGTTTGTTTTGGAAAAAATGTAGATTTAAAAAATTACAGGTAGCCTAACGAATAATAAACAAGGAATGAGATTTATTATTTCTACTATTTTTTTTAGAAAAGTCAATTTTTTTTTCATTTTCAAGCAACTTATATCTTCAATGTATTTTACTAAAATAACTCAAAAGCCATGTAAATTAATTACTAGACCAAATGTAACCCCTGAGAAACGGCTATATAAATCAGTCTTCATCATCCTTTTTCACTCAGTAAGTTTTCTTTGTATATAAAATATAATATTCCATATTTTCATATTAAATTTCTTCTATATTTTCAGATGACAAAGAGAGGAACTTGCATTGTAGGTGTAGCAACAACGACTGTCACCCCAAATGAGGTTCCATATAGGGGTGTGACGAAGAGGTCACGGGGGAAGTACAAAGCTTAATTTACAAACCACAATGTATGTGTCTGGCTTGGGAACTTTGATACACAAGAATAAGCCACAAGGGCTTATGATAAGGCTACGAGAATGTATCACGGTGCTAAAGCCAAACTTAATTTTCCGATGTAAAATGAGGATAACCTAGAAAATGGAATTGTAGCTATAGTGACAATAGTTGTAACCCCAACTAGGGGTGTTAGGAAAATGCCATGGGGTAAGTACAAAACTGATATTACAAATCAAAAAGTACGTGTCTGGCTTGGGACCATTGACAGAAAAGAAGAAGACGCAACAACTTATGTTAAGGCGACAAGGATGTATCGCGGCCTTAAAGCCAAATTCAATTTCCCAAAATCAAATGAGGATAACCTAGAAAATGAGGAGCTCAATCTTGAACTCACCCTTGCTTTATCAGCGAGAAAATGAAACTATATGGCACATTAAGTATTGATTGCAGTTATTAGAAGCAATAATTTAATTTCCATTTTTTATTTTTAGAAGAACAAAAATAACAGGAAACTTAATTATTTCTTGTTCCGAATTGTATATATAGTTTTTTTTCCATTATAGAATTTAGTTGAATGAATTTTTATTTTGTTGCATTATTTATTTTCCATGTTGATTCACTTTATCTGCTCATCTTCTATTATATATTTCTTTTAATTTGTATAATCTTGATTGTTTAGAAGTAACTTCAAGATGATAATGTCATAGCTAGTGTGCTTCTTGACCTATTTTTTATATTCCTTTGTATTTGTTGGTGTGCATTTTAATGGTATGTGATTGTTTTTAATTTTGGGAGTAAATTTTGAGTTGTATTCAGTTTCATATTGTCACTCCCCAAGTCTACACCCTAGACGTGGCTGACACGGGAGAACCAATGTTGGTCCCCCAGCTAACCCTTGGGCTGACTCATTAATCAGTGGAAAACTTATGTCATACCCCGAGCCTACACCCTTGGCCTGGCTTACTTACTTAGCAGAAGACTTTACTCAAGATAAATATACTTTATAGGAATAACTGAACTGCTCAATAAATAACTTAGAATGTAACAAATAACATTCACTGCCAAAGTAGCAACTCAAGTCTCAACTTATCTATAAAGGGAAAGTAAAGACTCATGAACTAACATCAACTAACTATGTCTATGAAGCCTCTAACCAACTGAGATGGACGTGGGGACAAGACCCACGACATCCTAATGAACTACAATACTGAAAGCAATAAAAAGGATCCTCCGGAAAGCTAAGAGTCTCACCAACTGACTCTGAGTGCTCAACTGGATCAGCGATGCGCTGGATGCTGACCCTGGTTACCTGTGTTTGCATCATAAAACGATGTAGGCCAAGTGGCATCAGTTTATTGAATGTACGAGTATGCGAGTTAGAATGCTAAACAAAACATAGGCTTGAAAAGAATATGAAAGAAACACTTACCTTGGCTTTACTCAACTCATGAATAACTTAACTCAATTTAAAGCAATAAAACACAAGCAATATATAAGAAAGCTTTTTAAAACTGTAGAAAGCAACTCAGTTCGTTAAAGAAATATAATGACAAATTCAACTTTACTTATCTAATAAAGTAATATAATTTTTGTGGGAGTTTCTCAAACCGACAACCACCACTATGAGCCTAAGTGGTGATACAACATCTTGCCCACACTGCCAGAATTGTCGTATACTTTGCCATCATATAGAATGGTTAACTAAGTGGATCCACTAGTCTATGCTAAAAAGCACTTAAGTATTCCTCTAAAAAGTATAATTCTTTACTACCCATGATGTCTACATGGTTTATGGAGACGTGAGTTATTTGAACTCAAACTCGTCCCCATATCGGTGCTCAATACTACCCCCAAAATACTTAGCTCATATGTTTAAAAACATAACTTATGTCTTTGGTTTGAGATAATTACTCAAAACTTAGCTTAAAACCTCTCTTGGAATCGATGTTCCCTTTCTTGCTCAAATGTGAAAACATTTACTCTTTAACTGAAAACTAGCTCAAAGGCTCTTTTGGAAATCAAGGTTTCCTTTCTTCTTTAAATGTGAAAACATTTACTCTTAACTGAAAACTAGCTCAAAGGCTCTTTTGGAAATCAAAGTTTCCTTTCTTCTTTAAATGTGAGAACATTTTACTCTTTGAGAATACATAGTCCCGATATACTCTTTTGAAGAAATAAACTTTAAAATTTACTCTTTACTCAACTCAAAACTCAAGTCTTAAAACAAAGTTAAAACATTTATAAAAGACTTTTGGAAGACTCTATGAACTTCTCTTGACTTGGATCTAAACTTCTCTTGACTGGACTCTTGACTTTCCTTGAATTGAGTTATAGATTCAAGGATTGTGATTTGTGATAGAAAAGATTTCATGATGTTTATTAGTGTTTTTAGATAGTTAATCATGAGAAAAGATCAATAAATCACTGTCAGGAAGCAAGTCCGCGATGCGGAGATGCACTTAAATATTTGATCGTGAAATTTATTTTTGAAACAGAGGAGTACGCGACCTCTCCGCGACGCGAAGAAAAACTTTTCACATAGAAGGAATAGGTCCGCGTTGTGGACCTGGTACCTATTCCTTGTCCGATTTTTCTTCCTCATTTTCTAACCCCAATTCACCTAATTCTGATTCTTTTTATCAATCCCTCTTTAGATTCAAATACCCAGCATATGTACACAAGATTCTAACTCAAACAACTCAAGGAAACAACATTATAACCTCAAGGAACTCCTTAATCTCAACTTAACTCAAGAACGAAGGCCAATTTCAAGAACACCAATGCTATGAAAGTCTCACATACCTCTTTAGGAATCAACCCTTGTCGAAATCCAGAAGGTAAACCTTCAAGAACGACGAACTTTG